ATGGGAGCCAGGTCGTCTATGTTACAGGAAGAAGAGATTTCCGAGATTCACAAAGAGACTGGCTGTAAGTGCTGTAGTTCACCACTAAAACTAAATTAAATGTTTTAACTTTAATATTAAATTAATAATTAATGTAATTTAAGTTCCCTGTGCTATTTTTATTTTGACTTTGTTGAAATTAATTATATAATGAAGTATTTAACACTTCAGAAGTCAGTTTTATGTTTAGCTTTGAGGTAGATATTATAATCACACTTCTCTAATTTAGAATTGTTCTTAGTTAGTTTATTTAGTTAGTTGGGTTATCCTCATTGCACTCCGGACATGTCCATAGGTGCTCAGATCCTCCCCTCAGTATGAACCCCAACGTTCGATGGCTAGTAGTACCAGTTCTATGTTGATTAACAAGTAGAATTGTTCTAAAATTGGGAAACGACAAGTATGCGAGTTGAAGTTGAAAACACGAAATTCAACGGCACCCCTCTTCTTCACGCTAATTTGGACATACATTAAACCTTTGTTAACGTGAATTTTAAAAATCACGAGTTCATGTTAAACAAAATTCGTGCTAACCAGGAGTTATAATAATTATAATGCATCGCCTCCGAGACCAAAATTGTGTTTTTATCAACGGAGTATACTGAACCTTATATGGTGGTGTGCTAGGACCAGGGTACCAACAGGTGAAGACCTGTCTATACACCTCTCTGTAATCATCCTCGAAACAGGCTCCCAACTGGGGGCCTGACCATCATAGATGGGTTTGAAGTTTCCTTTGAAATGCATCTGCTTTATCTTTTTTAGGTTTATTCAACGGATCAGTGTCATGGCACACTGGTGTAACCCATAAGTGCTTCGTTCTACTTCTAATTCAAGCGTGAGTCTGAAGAATCTCAGCGCAGTGCACAAACTCCGTTGCACCGGCGAGGATCCTGAAATACTTGGGGTTGATTTTTAATTCCAAATTTTGCCGAGCAGCGCTGTTCGGCTACTCTTTTCAATTTCTTGCTGCTAAGGTATTTTTTATGTGTTCAACAATACACAACAGGTGTCTGATCTTACTACCCATGGACCAGGGGAAATTACTAGAAGTCCACGTGAAGAAATCCCTGCCTTCACCAGGGCTTGAACCCAAACTTCAAGCACTCAAGGCAGACACCATACCTTGAGACCACTCAACCCCCATGAATCTGCCTGACAGATAAGGAACCAACAGTCTGTATACACATAAGCCAGATCTGTAAAATTTATATGTATACAAAACTCAAGTTCTGGAGCTAGACTAAAGTCCAGGAGTGGATGAACGGTCAGAACTTTCTGCCAGAGTTTACAGCTAGTGAATGCTTAGTAGAGGGTGTATGTTTTTATGTTTATTTTTGTGTGTGGTTTCTCTTTAATTGTATTTGTTTTATGTCTTCAGTCTCCAGCAACCAGATCGTCCGTCTGTACAGCAGGTTCACTAACCTAGATAAAAGTGACCAAGGTTTCCTAAGGTAATACTGTTGTTAGATGGTGTTCTTTTGTGAGTCGGTGGCATACCTTGTTAAAATTCCTTTACAGATGTATATGGAAGGTAAGGGGAAACCGCTATATTTATTTCCTGTTTGAGCTTATGTGCCTCATAAATACAGATTCATAATGGAGTAACAGGAAGATAGTGAATTCAGTTGCAAGCTTAAAGTTTTTAGATTCAAATCTGCACCTAGGCGATTTTCCAAAATTGATCTTGGCTCCTGGTTCAACCCAGCCTAAAATGAGTACTAGGAAATGTCTTTGGAAGTAAAGATAGCAGGCACAATGTTGACCACATCACCCGTCAAGTGTCAGTTCTGTATACATCTAGATCTAGCAACATATACCAACTGCCTTTCATGCATGATGCGGGTTCCTTAAAAAATGGGAAGAATTTCATATCAAACAAGGGACTGGCATGAACAGCTGGCACTTCACTGAATCTGTAGGCTCAGTTCTTCCCCCCCCCCCCCCACATACACCGCAAAATGGGTTGGTAAATATAGGCAGTAATGGTAGTTTATTGGCATTTTATTTAATTTTTATTTTAAAAACACAGGACGGTCATGTGGGAGATCTGGGTTCAAATCCTGGCCACATCTTCTGAGTTATTATTCTGAGGCCATTACTGCCTAATTTACTGCTTTTGCGATATAGGCAAGGGCGTCTTGAAGATTTCGGGACGTATGGCTCTCACAAAGGACTGCAGTCCAGGATTTTATTTGTATCCCCGACATAAGAATTCCCCAACCTTACAGAGGATTCGAACCTAGGTCTCTGTATGTAATTATCATTTTATAATATTCAAATATTTTATGGTGCTCACTAGATATTTCATTAGCTTTGATCTGGTAAATCAGGCCAGTGTGCATTGACTAACGCATGTGTGAGAGGGTCATGTGGTTAGGAATGTGTTCTGCAAGTATGAGTAAGAGGGTGTTGTGCATGTTGTCCACACGTTATGTGATAGGTTGTTGTTCATAAATGTGTGTGTGTTTGTTGTGCAGGCATCAGTGGACATGTTTTTTTGTTTTTTTTTAAACTATTATGAATGGCTCATAGTTTGCTCATCCAGTGTTTTGTTTTATTCTGTTTTCTAGAAGAGCTGATTTTCTACGAATCCCTGAACTGGCCATCAATCCCCTGGGAGATAGAATAGTTCATGCATTTTTTCAAGAAAGGTAATGACTACATTTGTGTTCATAGGTCTCACAGATTTATTTCTTCTGTTCTTAGTCATAATTACATTATGGCATGTTGTATTGATTTTTGTCAGTACCTGTGCATACAGTTTTGAAATATGGACCTTAATGTCCAAGCTTGAAAGGAAAATAAAAGCATGGAAACTGAGATTTTTTAGAAAGGTCCTTGATATATTACAGAGATCAAGTCAAAAATGATGTGATTCACCGTTTTATTACCCAACACAGTGGTAACTATGAACTTTTTTAAACAACAGTGAAAAGATGGAAAAGGCAGTGGTATCTGTCTAGATTGATACCATAGGGTGCAGTAGAGAGAAAGAGGAGAAGAGGCAGACCAAACAAAGGCCTTGATACAGAACTTGGCTGAATGAATAGGTAAGCTTTAGTCATGCAAACATCAGATCTGGCACATCTGATTGATAGAGATAGAGGAAACTAAACAGATACATAGCAGCAGCTGGTGACCCAACCACAGACAGTGTTGTGGAACTGATGATGAGTCATTCTTATGATTACACTGTTAACAGAATCAAGCTAATACCATGACTTGCACTGTTGTAGTAGAGATAGACCTTGACATGTTCAAGATCCCTAAACAGTAGAATGACCATTTGCGCCAACAGTGCGCTGCAATTCTAGTGTTCGACCGTTAGTGTTGGCACATCCGGCAGCTGCCTTAGGCATTTTTACTTTGCGTATGCTCACTTCAAGATTCTGCTGGGACTGACAAGTTTTTCGCTAATTCTCAAATGAGCAAGTTAAGGATATTTTGTGTGATTTCCACTGGCACAGAACGGTACATTTACGGGGCGACCTGTCTGCAGTGATAATGGAACCTCAGCTAACTACACAGTGGAGTTATGTGTCCAGCTCGCTTCCTTAACAGCTTTTCATGAACAATTTCTAGTTTATTTGGCTGTTTCATCCCAGACCTGCACTGCTGGGGAAATAATTTTGCAGACAGAACTTCTTCTTTGCGTTGACTGGCTGTAAACTCCGGCGTAAGGTTCTGGTTATTCACCCACTTGTGGACTCTGGACCTGTTTTCCAGAAACTGAGTGTTGTATGCATATCCGTTTCACAGGTCTGACTCAGGTTGCATGCAGACTGTTGGAAGCTCCCAATTAATCGACTCTTACGACATGCTTTTGAGCAGGCAGTGGGTCTATTCTTGTTTTTCCCACAACGGGGCCCCAGAACCCACACGGGGAGCAGCTAGAACTGAACCTGAACCACTTGTTGGTCAGCAACTGCATTAGCTTTCTCTTTTTCATTCACCTTTTAACTTCCCCGTTTATAACCTTAACAATACACTAAGACTGTGATGAATTGAATGTTTCATCTTCCCATAGTACATGCCGAGTGGTGTTGGTAGTCATGTTTGTCCACAGCCTTCTGTCTCATACATTTTTTGATCCATTGTGACACAGATGGCCTTCCATACCAAGGTGTCAAACTGTCCAGCATCTTTTGTCTTTGTCTTCCTCTACCCTTTTTCTCTTTAACTTTTCCGCTGTCATGATGTATTCTAGTTGTCTGCTTCTCACAGTGTGACCAATGCACGTGTATTGTCCTTTCCTGATGTGGGTAATCAGTTCTCATTGTCAGTTAATTTCATTCATGGTATCTTTATTACTCTTTTTCTGTTCAAATTGTTTATATCATTTATCTATAAAACCATGTTTCTGCCACTTCCACATAAATTTTCTCTAATTGGCTATCACTGATTCATTTTCATATATAACAGTTAGAATTATGTATATCCTAAGAATTCTTCTCGTAAAGCTGACCAAAAAAAAAAAAAATTTACCAAAACATATTAAATAGATAATTCTTCATTTTTTGAAATGCTGCCATTTGCTTGAGCTTCTGGGCATTTAACTTCTTAAATAAATATTGCTAAAATCTACTAAAACTGGAGCAATACAGGTCAGCAGAATTCCTAGTCCTCTACACATCGGGTTGAATGGTTCTTGTCTGAAGCATGTTACAGAATTTAAATATCTAGGAAGTATATATTTTCGGAGGATGGAAGAATAGATCAGGAAAAAGAAACAAGATGCCAACAAGCCAATGCATTTATATACTGACACCGTTATTAAGACATCCAAACATAAGTATGAGCTCCAAGAAACAGATTACAAACAGCATGTTCATACCAACACTGTGCTACCAGTGCCAGACTTGGACATTATCAAAGGCTAACCTACATTAAACTAACACCTGGGAAATGAGATGCCTGAAAAAAAGCCAGCAACTTAACCATCCGAGACAAAGTTAGAAATAATATTATCAGACATACTCTAGGAACAACACCATGAAGCAGATTCATTGAGAAACAGAAGATCAAATGGTTTTGGCGTTTAGTGGGTATGCAATCAGAACAACTACTAATACAGGCGCAGTAGATGAAAAGGTTTGAAGTAAAAGCAAGAGGCCACCCTAGGAGAACATGAATTGATGACATTAAAGAGCTTCTAAATCGACACAGAATGACAGTATCAAATGCTGCCCATCAACACTCCCCGCAACACTTAATAGCATAAGTGGAAATTGGTGATGATAGTGATGAATAAATCTTTCAATCGCTATTATGGTACTCATGTACTTAAATGTCAATGTTTATGAAAATTATAAATATTTATTTGTATTCCTTGACTAGTGGTGGTGACACTGTTAACTTCCGCCAGTTTATGAGAGTGCTTGCTCGCTTTAGGCCAGTGAAAAAGAACACACAGAAAAACAAACTAAATGACAGGGAGGAAAAATTAAAATGTAAGTACCTCCATTAGCTAATCATGTGTTTACTTCTACAGTAGCATAGAACATTTGTCAGCTGATCATATGTTTACTTCTACGGTAGCATAGAACATGTGTCAGCTGATCATGTGTTTACTTATACAGTAGCATAGAACATGTGTCAGCTGATCATGTGTTTACTTATACAGTAGCTTAGAACATGTGTCAGCTATCATGTGTTTACTTCTACAGTAGTTTAAAACATGTGTCAGCTGATCATGTTTACTTCTACAGTACCGTAGAACATTGTCAGCTGATCATGTGTACACTTTTACAGTAGCATAAAACATTTGTCAGCTGATCATGTGTTTTCTTCTACAGTAGCGTAGAACATTTGTCAGCTGATCATGTGTTCACTTCTACAGTAGCATAGAACATGTGTCAGCTGATTATGTTTACTTCTACAGTAGCATAAAAAATTGTCAGCTAATCATGTGTTTACTTCTACAGTAGCATAGAACATGTGTCAGCTGATCATGTGTTTACTTCTACAGTAGCGTAGAACATTGTCAGCTGATCATGTGTTTACTTTTACAGTAGCATAAAACATGTGTCAGCTGATCATGTTTACTTCTACAGTAGCATAGAACATTGTCAGCTGATCATGTGTTTACTTCTACAGTAGCATAAAACATGTGTTAGCTGATCATTTGTTTACTTCTACAGTAGCATAGAACATGTGTCAGCTGATCATGTGTTTACTTCTACAATAGCATAAAACATTTGTCAGCTGATCATGTGTTTACTTCTACAGTAGCATAAAACATGTGTCAGCTGATCATGTGTTTACTTCTACAGTAGCATAAAACATTTGTCAGCTGATCATGTATTTACTTTTACAGTAGCATAAAACATGTGTCAGCTGATCATGTGTTTACTTCTACAGTAGCATAGAACATGTGTCAGCTGATCATGTGTTTACTTCTACAGTAGTATAAAACATTTGTCAGCTGATCATGTGTTTACTTCTACAGTTGCATAGAACATGTGTCAGCTGATCATGTGTTTACTTCTACAGTAGTATAAAACATTTGTCAGCTGATCATGTGTTTACTTCTACAGTAGTATAAAACATTGTCAGCTGATCATGTGTTAACTTTTACAGTAGCATAAAACATGTGTCAGCTGATCATGTTTACTTCTACAGTAGCATAGAACATGTGTCAGCTGATCATGTGTTTACTTCTACAGTAGCATAAAACATTTGTCAGCTGATCATGTATTTACTTTTACAGTAGCATAAAACATGTGTCAGCTGATCATGTGTTTACTTCTACAGTAGCATAGAACATGTGTCAGCTGATCATGTGTTTACTTCTACAGTAGTATAAAACATTTGTCAGCTGATCATGTGTTTACTTCTACAGTTGCATAGAACATGTGTCAGCTGATCATGTGTTTACTTCTACAGTAGTATAAAACATTTGTCAGCTGATCATGTGTTTACTTCTACAGTAGTATAAAACATTGTCAGCTGATCATGTGTTAACTTTTACAGTAGCATAAAACATGTGTCAGCTGATCATGTTTACTTCTACAGTAGCATAGAACATGTGTCAGCTGATCATGTGTTTACTTCTACAGTAGCATATAACATGTGTCAGCTGATCATGTGTTTACTTCTACAGTAACAAAGAACATTTGTCAGCTGATCATGTGTTTACTTCTACAGTAGCATTGAACATTTGTCAGCTGATCATGTGTTTACTTCTACAGTAGCGTAGAACATTGTCAGCTGATTATGTGTTTACTTCTACAGTAGCATAGAACATTTGTCAGCTGATCATGTGTTTACTTTTACGACAGTGTAGAATCTTTTGTGTCAGTTGATTGTGTGTCTACTTATATAATAGTGTAGAATCTTTTGTGTCAGTTGATTGTGTGTCTACTTATATAACAGTGTAGAATCTTTTGTGTCAGTTGATTGTGTCTACTTATACAATAGTGTAGAATCTTTTGTGTTAGCTGATTGTGTGTCTACTTATACAATAGTGTAAAATCTTTTGTGTCAGTTGATCATGTGTCTACTTAAACAGTAGTGTAGAATCTTTCATGTCAGCTGATTGTGTGTCTACTTATACAATAGTGTAGAGTCTTTCGGGTCAACTGATCATGTGTCTACTTATGCAATAGTGTAGAATCTTTTGTGTCAGCTGATCATGTGTCTACTTATATATAAGTGAAGAATCTTTTGTGTCAGTTGATTGTGTGTTTACTTATACAATAGTGTAGAATCTTTTGTGTCAGTTGATCGTGTGTTTACTTATAAAATAGTGTAGAATCTTTTGTGTCAGTTGATCATGTGTCTACTTATACAGTAGTGTAGAATCTTTCGTGTGTCTACTTATACAGTAGTGTAGAATCTTTTGTGTTAGCTGATCACGTGTCTACTTATACAATAGTGTAGAATCTTTTGTGTCAGCTAATTATGTGTCTACTTCTAGGACAGTGAAGAATCTTTTGTGTCAGTTGATTGTGTGTCTACTTGTACAATAGTGTAGAATCTTTTGTATCAGCTAATCACATGTCTACTTATACACTTCACTTAATTCTGGTTATGTTGTTTTTAGTGGTGAATTTAGGTTTTATCTTATATGGGCTGAATGAATTGGTGTGAAAGCATTTATATATTCTGACATTTGTGTATGTCATTTACACCAGCAAACTTTGTTGCATGTATGTTATGTAGACCAGTAAACTCAGTTGTATATATGTTGTGTAGACCAGTAAACTCAGTTGTATATATGTTGTGTAAACCAGTAAACTCAGTTGTATATATGTTTTGTGGATCAGTACACACAGTTGTATATATGTTGTGTAGACCAGTAAACTCAGTTGTATATATGTTTTGTGGATCAGTACACACAGTTGTATATATGTTGTGTGGATCAGTACACACAGTTGTATATATGTTGTGTAGACCAGTAAACTCAGTTGTATATATGTTGTGTAGACCAGTAAACTCAGTTGTATATATGTTTTGTGGATCAGTACACACAGTTGTATATATGTTTTGTGGATCAGTACACACAGTTGTATATATGTTGTGTAGACCAGTAAACTCAGTTGTATATATGTTGTGTAGACCAGTAAACTCAGTTGTATATATGTTGTGTAGACCAGTAAACTCAGTTGTATATATGTTTTGTGGATCAGTACACACAGTTGTATATATGTTGTGTAGACCAGTAAACTCAGTTGTATATATGTTGTGTAGACCAGTAAACTCAGTTGTATATATGTTTTGTGGATCAGTACACACAGTTGTATATATGTTGTGTAGACCAGTAAACTCAGTTGTATATATATTGTGTAGACCAGTAAACTCAGTTGTATATATGTTGTGTAGACCAGTAAACTCAGTTGTAAATATATTGTGTATGCCAGTAAACTCAGTTGTATATATGTTGTGTAGACCAGTAAACTCAGTTGTAAATATATTGTGTATGCCAGTAAACTCAGTTGTATATATGTTTTGTGGATCAGTACACACAGTTGTATATATGTTGTGTAGACCAGTAAACTCAGTTGTATATATGTTGTGTAGACCAGTAAACTCAGTTGTATATATGTTGTGTAGACCAGTAAACTCAGTTGTATATATGTTGTGTAGACCAGTAAACTCAGTTGTATATATGTTGTGTAGACCAGTAAACTCAGTTGTATATATGTTGTGTAGACCAGTAAACTCAGTTGTATATATGTTGTGTAGACCAGTAAACTCAGTTGTATATATGTTGTGTAGACCAGTAAACTCAGTTGTATATATGTTGTGTAGACCAGTAAACTCAGTTGTATATATGTTGTGTAGACCAGTAAACTCAGTTGTATATATGTTGTGTAGACCAGTAAACTCAGTTGTATATATATTGTGTAGACCAGTAAACTCAGTTGTATATATGTTGTGTAGACCAGTAAACTCAGTTGTTTATATGTTGTGTAGACCAGTAAACTCAGTTGTTTATATGTTGTGTAGACCAGTAAACTCAGTTGTATATATGTTGTGTAAACCAGTAAACTCAGTTGTATATATGTTGTGTAGACCAGTAAACTCAGTTGTTTATATGTTGTGTAGACCAGTAAACTCAGTTGTTTATATGTTGTGTAGACCAGTAAACTCCGGCAGATAGTTTGGTTGTTCGTCTACCTGTAGACTTTAGTCTTTGTCCAGAGCTTTAACTTTGCTTGCACATCTGTTTTATAGATCTGGATAATTTTTTAAGCGCCCTGTTGATTCTTTGCCTCTCAGGCAAATTCACTGTGACTTTGAAAGAAACATCATTGATTAGTCGACGCACTTGTTAGTGTGGCAGTGGGTCTATTCTTTTCTCCCCCCCCCCCCCCCCCCAAAAAAAAATGGGGCCCTCAGAACCCACATAGGGAATGACTACCTTTGTTTGTAAAACTCATTTCATTGCATTTTCTTGACTGCTGAAGAAAACATTTAAACACAGCTGGCATTGTCCTCATAATGGGGTGTTGGTAACATGTTTTTCCCTTGTATATGGAAACTTAAGGAGTATTGTTTGTTTACTGGTATGTTATGCTGTTTGTTTACTGTTATGTTGTTTGTTTACTGGTAGGCTATGCTGTTTGTTTACTGGTATGTTGTGTTATTGTTTGTTTACTGTGTTATGTTTTTTGTTGACTGATGTTATGTTGTTTGTTTACTGGTGTGTTATGTTGTTTCTTTACTGGTATGTTATATTATTGTTTGTTTACTGAATGCTTTTTTTTTCTTTGTCTCCATCAAGTTGCATTTAAAATGTATGACCTGGATGGAGACAATATGATATCTCGAGACGAGCTGTTGAATGTACTTCATATGATGGTTGGAGCAAACATTTCTGATGAACAGGTAATCATATAATGGGTGGAGCTAACATTTCTGACCAACGTATAAGCATATGATGGGTGGAGCTTGCAAACATGGCTGGCAGTAAGCAAATGATGGACACATCCAAAGCTTTCTTTTCACATGCTATTAGCTTATTGAAGGCAAACAATTGACCCTTCTCTGATCTTTGATTTGAAGTATGCCTAACACATACACATTATTATCTATCATGTGATCAATGCTTGGTGTTGCTTGTACCATTTCTTTAGTGAAATTAATGTCCTGGAGAGAATGGGGCACATGGGTGTAACCAGAGTGTCTGGCCGGCTCACTACACTCAGAGGAAAGGCAAGACGGACATATAACCAGATTGTGCAGTCACAAATAAATACCATCAGTATTGGAAATCTGCGCTGGCTGCTGAAGATGAGGACGGAGCATGCATGGGAATGCCCCGAGTGCTGTGATGTCAGTTCTTGACTCAACTCAACTCAGTCAAATTAATCCAGTGAACTGTAACTAAAAGGCTTAACAAAATGGGGAAGTAGAACAACCGGGGTGGGGGGGAGGGGGGTGTCACATGAGAGACTTCAGTGGCACGATGTCTTGGTTTGTCACATCTGATTACATTGATAGAGCTTCTTGTGCATCTTACCCCTCTCCATGTGGACCCCAGGACTCCAGTATGGAGTTGGGGAGTGAGAAAAATAGACCCACAGTCCTCTTAAAAACCTGTCATAGAAGGTGATTAAACTCTTTTGGTCCCATGAAGCTCAGCATGTGTTGAATTGTTCTTTCAGTCTGGTCATTTTTGCAGATTCACAGTCATCACTTGGTAATTGCAAACGTCTTACTTCTCATAGAGCATTCAGAATATCAGCCTTATCCTTGGCTTATCCGCCCTCAACAGTAGTTTTACCTGCAAGCCAATCAGCTTGCTCATTTCCTGGCACACCTGCGAGCCCTGGCATAAATATGATGCTGACATGTGCCAGTCCTGACTGCTTTAGAGACTCCCGCCACTGCCTTCAGATCCAGCCCTTTTATATCTTCCTGAGCATACTCACTGAGACGGGATGCAAAGGTGCTGAAGTACACATGGTGATGGTCATTCAAGGGCCAGGGCTTATACTGGTCAAGGCAGTCATCCAACAAACAAGTGTCCAACCGGGGCTTGCCAACGTAAATGAGATCAACATTTCCTTTGAAGTTTGGGTACATCTGCTTGAGAGGCAAGGAACCAAGAGTCTGCACATAGATAAGCCAGATCTTTAAAATTAATGTACACAAAACACTCAGGTCCTGGGACAAGAGCACAGTTCAGAAGTGGACAAACAACCAGGACTTTTGACCGGAGTTTACTGCTGGTGAATGTGAGGAAGAAGTCTCAAACATCCTCCGTCTCTCACTTGGCAGTGATTTCTGATGTCTTTTCTTCCAGCTGGGCAGCATTGCTGACAGGACAATCATGGAGGTGGACCTGGACAAGGACGGCTATATCTCATTTGAGGAGTTTGTTAAGGTAATGTCTCTGTTTGTTGTGTCACTATCTCCCATATTATTAGGTCAATTTCTGTCATTTCCTGTCTCTGTCTCTCATATCACCATTTCACAGTTTGACACTATATTCTGCTTGTGTACTCTCTGCCTTCGGGGTCTCTTAGGGGACTGGTGTGGGGGGCCTCTTAGGGGACTGGGGCAGGGAGCCTCTTAGGAGACGGGTGGGGAGGGGGCTCTTAGGGGACTGGGGCAAGGGGCCTCTTAGGGGACTGGGGCGGAGGGCCTCTTAGGAGACTGGAGCAGGGGGCACTTACCAAAATTGCATATATTCTTCCTGAAGGTAATATGAGATGAAATAATAGCTGTCCTTTGCTAGTCTAAATTATGTGTTCAAATAATGAAAAAAATCAAGAGAATCAGCTTCATTGCACCTGGTTATGTCCCCTTTGTCTTGGTCTCTGCATCCTTTGGATATTGTCTCCACATCATGCTGGTGTGTTGGGAAAAGAGCAGGCAGAAAGACTGGCCGGTTTTGCACCACTTGGTTGTGGAATGATGTATGGCAAGATAGATGTTGTGAGGACTCTTTGAAAGCGAGTGAAGAGTCTGGAGAGAATGGTGCTGCGGGGAGTCACCAGGGGATCTGGCCGATGCTCAACACTCAGGGGAAAGGTTAGATGGATGTACAATCAGTTACTGGTACCATCGCAATTGGAACTTTTAGCTTGCTGCTGGTCGCATGCAAATATATGCACATGAACACACCAATATTGACTGAGCAATTAGGACATCATAAGCATTACGTAGGGTTGTTAAGGATTTGACTCTAAGGGAATTTGCAGTGGAAAGGTTCAAGAAGGCAGACGTGTGGTCGATCCTTGATGAATCCTAGAAGATGATTTACCCATGGGATTCCATGGCCTAGTGCCAAGGCACAGATGGATCGTTGGGAGGGTGGGGGTTGGCGCTGCGAGGAGTTGCAGCGGGATCTGACTGACGCTCAGGGGACGGGTGAGATGGATATTCAATTGAACAGTTGCTGGTACTATCTAAATTTTAACTCTTCGCTCGCTGCTGAAGATGGGGACAGAGCGCTTATAGGGGTGTTCCGAGGGCTATGGTGTAGATTCTTAATTCAATATTTAAAGTTTAACAACAACATTCAACATTTGTTGTTCTTTTATTAACTTTGTTTGTCAGTTTGTTACCAATTTAGAGTCATTTCCTTTAGACGTCATTTATTTTTAGACTGATCATTTTCTGACAAGCTTTCAGTGTGCTTTTCTTTCCTGGAGAAAATATCCAAAGGACGCTAACTGGCCAGGACTTCTGATGTGATGCTTGCCACTAAAGACTTTTGTGTGTTTATAATTTTAGCATGTTAGATTGGACACATTATTAGGATCATTTCCTGAAAAACTCCCTGTCATTATCATTTGTGTCACACTCATTGTCATTTTATTACAGCCTTTAAGTGTCTTTTCTGACACATGTTCTGTGTTATTTTTTATTTTTGTTATAGGCTTTGAGTACTAGTTATCAATCAAGATAAGACAGAATACATGATAATAACTAAACAGGGAAAGGATATAAACTAAGGCCAAATACAAGTCGATAATATGAAAATCAAATGAACGGAAACATATAAGTATTTCGGTGAAAAATTCAACTGCTCCAACAGGCTGAGAGGAGAAATACAATCTAGAATCTTCTTATTCTTTTCCACCTTGTACCTCATCGAAGTGTCGGGTGGAGATGTAATGTTCGTTGATGAGCTCTGTCAAGAGCATTATTAAGACTGATGTTCATTTCTTTAAGGCCCTCACTCTATATTTTCCTAGGTCTTCCACTCGCTCTATACCCGTTGTAACGTTATAGTATGGCTCGCTGTGGCAGATAGTATCAGGGCATTCTTGTTAGGTGTCCAAAAGCATTCGTCTGATTTCATGATTTCGTATTCTGTCTTTCCTTGAAACTCCTGCAGCTCTTCTAAGGCATTTCATCTCTGTTGTCACAATTTTACGTTCATTGGAGGATGTAAGTGTCCACTTTGGCATTGATAGCATAGACAATCTAGAATGCAATCTGAAATAAAGTATACTATGCCCTTCAACATCTGCTGAAGTCAAAGTGTCTGTCTTGCAACACCAAGATCAAAATATATAAAATGTTAAGACCATTCGTGTTATATGGCTCTGAAACTTGGAGCACAACAGAGAATTAAAAACTGTATACACCAGGGAGATTAATGGTCATAGACCACGAGGGAGACCAAGAAGACAATGGAGAGATAATATCCAGACAGACCTGCAAACACTTGGTGTAACCAACTGGAAAAAGAAGACCAACCAGAGAGATGAATGGAGGGGGGTGATATCTGCAGCAATGAACATCAAGGGCTCGGAATGCTGAAGAAGAAGAAGATAGGCTTTGAGTATCACATTCTGACAAACTTGGAGTCTGATTTCTTAAAAGATTTCCTAGCAGATTTCCTAACAGACTTTTCAATTCATTTCAGGCAATGGAACGGGTGGATGTAGAGCAGAAGATGAGCATACGTTTTCTCAACTAGATGTTCGTATGAGGCTTACGTTGGTTGAGTTTATGGTGACAGCTATCATCCCAGACGTACAACACTTATCTGCTTTATCTTTGTGTACTGGTTTTATTATCTGTGCTGCATTCTCAGTTTATGTACCAGCTGTACACATATATGTGCTATATTTGTTGTGTCCCACTTGTACACTCACTTCTGTGCTATATTGGTTGTAAACTAGTTGTACACACACATTTGTTATACTTGTTGTGTACTCTTTCTACACTTTACTGTTTTATATTTGTTTTGTGCACACACACATCTGTGCTATTTTTGTTGTGTACCAATTGTACACTCACATCTGTGCTATTTTTGTTGTGTACCAATTGTACACTCACATCTGTGCTATTTTTGTTGTGTACCAATTGTACACTCACATCTGTGCTAAAAAAATTTGTGTAACAGTTATACTCACAAGTCTGTGCTATATTGTTGTGTACCAGTTATACCCACACACATACATCTGTTATGTTTGTTGCATACCAGCTGTACACCTGACTGTTTTATATTTGTGGTGTAGCCGTTGTATAGTCACAGCTGTGCTATATTTGTTTTGTTCCAGTTGTACACACATGTCTAAGCTTTATCATGTACCAGCTGTACAGACATGTCTGCTTTATTTGTTGTGTACCAGGTTGTACAGACACCCATGTCTATTATATTTTTGTGGGTGTCAGTTATGCACTCACAGATGTTTCTGTTATATATTTGTTGTGTACCAGTTGTACAGATAGAATATATTGTGCTATATTTAATATAGTGTGTTTTATTTAAAGTGTGTCGGTTAAAGATATATATATATATGTTATATTAAGTTTGTACACAGATGTACACCACAGAGTGTACAAAGCATTGAACAAACATTCCACATATTTATGTTGATGATTTCTTGTACAACTGTACAATCTAATGATTGTACGCAAGTGAGACCATATTCTTGTCTCCCTTTTGACAAGGTTCTGTTCACATTGACATCCTGTCTGTCATCTTAGACTTGACATGTCAAATTAACCCCACACCTTAGACTTGACATGTTAGATCACCCCCACATCTTGGTCTTGACATGTCACATTAACCCCACACCTTGGACTTGACATGTTAGATCACCCCCACATCTTGGACTTGACATGTCAAATCATATAGTCAGGCCAACTGTTTTAGTCATCGCTCCTGGCCACAGATACTGTTGTATATTTTCCCATATGTGGACTAAAAGTATGTAGTTCCATTGCCTAGCTCCTGAGTTAAATGCATGGCATGACACTGTGAGCTGCAGATTTGATTTGGAAGGCTGTTTGACTGTGCCGGACATGATTAGTATTGTGAACTGCAGATTCACATAATAGTGAGTAGCCTGTTTCCACAGAACTGGTTTTTACATTATACAATCAATTGCATATGCAACTGCTGATTCATGTAACTGCTGCTTTCGTCGATAATGAACTGCAGTTCTAGTGGTAGACTGTTGGTGTTGGCACATATGATAGCTGCCTTATGCATTTAATATGTATGCTATTGGCTTTGCAGTGACTACAGTCTGTTAAATGTTGTGTGTGCATGAAACGGAAATGGACATGCTGGTTGGTTTTAGTTGGCACTGGAACGAAAAAATTTTATGGTGACCTGTTTGCAATGAAGTTTGATCTGCAATTAACTTATTAACTGGTGAAGATGAAGGCAGGCATTTTTTTCTGGTTTAGTTGTGCTTTCAGAAGTGTGTATGCTCATTTGTCATTGTGATATCATCATCAAGTGCCTTGCCAGCTGGCGTAGGCGTTCAAGCATGTCCACAGATCACGGTCTTTGATGTTCTGGATCACTTTCACTGATGATATTCTTTCATGGCACTGTCTCAAGCCATCCACCATCAGTTCTGCTGGTCTGTCTCTGCCTCTTCAACCAGTCGTCACGATATTTTCCAGTGCTCCTTTTCTCTTCACTTGACCAAAGCACTTTGTGATACTTCAGCTTATAAATTTCCTTGTTGCTTCTATCTGTATGCAGTGTTTCTGTCATCACCTAGTATTTGCACCCATATCATTTCATTTATCTTTACATATTTGTTATTCGGCTGGGCTGACTGTACATCCCATTTTCATCGAGACAGTCCTCTTTTTTTTTTTTAATGTGCCCTGGACATCCCATCTGTCCTCCAATAATAAATTTAAAAAAATAGCCAGTTGTCCCATAAAAAAAAAAAATCTAGGGGTAAGCTCAAGAATAGAACATACATTTATAGTTATATCTGTAGATTTCATAGTTTCTGATTCTTTTGATCCCTGAAATGTGTTGATGGGAATTTTTGTTGTAGCATTTCTTTATTTAACGAGCGTATTGTTTCATATATTTCTTGGTAGTACTAGTTCAGGGTTTAATACCTATTGCGTAATAAACCTGTTCCCTGGGGAAGGGGGGGGGGGGGGGGGGGGGGGGTTGTAACTGACTTGCTAAGGATGTCCCATTTTCAGCTGAAGATATTATGGTCATTTTATGTTTGACAAAGTTTGCTTAAATGAGAGAAGACCATATTCTAGACTGTATAAAATACCAAATAAACATCGAACTGTAAACGCTTTCTGTCGACACTTTCTGTTTCTTTCCTTCCAAATGGTGATATTTGTGATATTGATTGTTCTGGAATGCAGACATCTGGTGAAGCTGCCGCTTGACTGACTGCAGGTAGCTCTGATTGAGATGATTATGGTTGAGATAAAGTATTTGTTTTGTTACTTATGTAGGTAGTCTGGAGAGGCTAGTGCAGCAGCGAGTTTCCAGTGGATCTCGCCGATACTCAGTGTTCAGAGGAAAGTAATAAAAAAAAGGTAAAGGACCCTTTTCCACGCCTTTAGGCATATAGGGCTAGCCTATATTTTTATAGACCAATCAGCACAAAATGGGTGATGTGGTCAGCATCACGCCAGCCGCCTTTACTTCCCTGGACTGCACCCGGTACCCACTCAAGGCTGGGAGCCAAGGTAATTTTTTTAACAAAGTCCGGCTCCGCCAGGGAGCGAACCCACGACCTCAGAGGAAAGTAAGACGGGTATAATCAAGCGGCTAATGGCGTTATTGTAACTCTGTGCTAGCTGCTGAAAAGGGCAACTTAGCGCAAATGGGAATGTTTTGAGCGCTGCTGTGATGTTGGTTCTCAGCTCAACTTACTTGTATAGTTTGGTTTAGACGATGGATCAACATCATGGCACAAGGTTAGTAACACTAAGTTCTCCTTTCTACTTCTGACTCAAGCCTGAGCCTGAAGAATCTCAGCTTAGTGCACAAACTTCGTAGAACCGGCGAGGATCCTTAACTACTTTAGGTAGATTTTTAACTTAACATTTTGCCAGGGCAGCGCCATTAGGCTACTTGTATAGCTGACAGAATGTCCATTTTGTTTGATGTCACCAAGAAGTGCCATGACAGTGCTGTGTAGGTAACTATTTTTCCTCCACAGCCTTTTGTTGTCTGTGTTACATGCCTCTTTTATTATATTTGTGTTTTTGTTTTTTTAAATGTCTTGTCTCAGCGCTGAAATACATTGGCCATATCAAACGCTAAGGAGGACTGGAAACAGCAGTAGCAAAGGGTACTGGAAACAAAATGGCAAAGACTGACCAGCCTTGGGTGCAGGGACTGACCAGCCATGGGTGCAGGGACTGACCAGCCATGGGTGCAAGGACTGACCAGCCATGGGTGCAGGGACTGACCAGCCATGGGTGAGGGACTGACCAACCATGGGTGCAGGGACTGACCAGCCATGTGTGAGGGACTGACCAGCCATGGGTGCAGGGACTGACCAGCCATGGGTGCAGGCACTGACCAGCCATGGGTGCAGGGACTGACCAGCCATGAGTGCAGAGCCTGACCAGCCATGGGTGCAGGGACCGACCAGCCATGGGTGCAGTTACTGACCAGCCATGGGTGCAGGGACTAACCAGCCATGGGTGCAGGGACTGACCAGCCATGGGTGCAGGGACCGACCAGCCATGGGTGCAGGGACTGACCAGCCATGGGTGCAGGGACTGACCAGCCATGGGTTCAGGGACTAACCAGCCATGGGTGCAGGGACTGACCAGCCATGGGTGCAGGGACTAACCAGCCATGGGTGCAGGGACTGACCAGCCATGGGTGCAGGGACTAACCAGCCATGGGTGCAGGGACTGACCAGCCATTGGTGCAGGGACTAACCAGCCATGGGTGAGGGACTGACCAGCCGTGGGCGCAGAGACTGACCAGCCATGGATGCAGGGACTGACCAGCCATGGGTGCAGGGACTGACCAGCCATGGGTGCAGGGACTGACCAGCCATGGGTGCAGGGACTGACCAGCCATGTGTGAGGGACTGACCAGCCATAGGTGCAGAGACTGACCAGCCATAGGTGAGGGACTGACCAGCCATGGGTGCAGAGACTGACCAGCCATGGGTGCAGGGACTGACCAGCCATGGGTGCAGGGACTGACCAGCCATGGGTGCAGGGACTGACCAGCCATGGATGCAAGATATAAAAGACACCTTGTGCAGGAAAGTGTTGGTGAGGGAATATTTTTTTTTCATGCATTCTCTGATCGGAGCAACGTTCTATAATGGACCTGCTAAATGATTGTGGTGATTCTCTTCTTCTTCTTTAGCGTTCCGAGCCCGTGAGGTTCATTGCTGCAGATATCACCCGCGTCCATTCATCTCTCTGGTTGGCCTTCTTTAGCGTTCCGAGCCCGTGAGGTTCATTGCTGCAGATATCACCCGCCTCCATTCATCTCTCTGGTTGGCCTTCTTTAGCATTCTGAGCCCTTGAGGTTTATTGCTGCCGATATCACCTGCCTCCATTCATCTCTCTGGTTGGCCCTCTCTTTCCAGTTGGTGACACCAAGTGTTTGCAGGTCTCTCTGGACATTATCTCTCCATCGTCTTCTTGGTCTGCCTCGTGGTCTATGACCATTTATCTCCCTTGTGTATAAAGTGATGGTGGTGATTTATTATT